ATTTGTATTGTTCGGGAGTGGTTCCTGAACTGTTGTTGCTGTAGACTGTTTTGTTCGGTAGATTTTGATCTTTTTTCATGTATTGATAGAATGATTTATTTGGTTCTTTATATTTTTGAGGTTTATTTTGATTGTCTTGCTGTTTTTGTCTACATTCAGAAATACTATGTCCGTATCGTCGGCAATAATTACACCATTTTTTGAAAGATGGTTTGCCTTTAAAGTTTGGGTGTTTTTCGTAAATATTGAGTATTTCAGTGATTTTTTCAACGAGATCTGTATCTGATTCCTGTATATTGTTTATATTTGTGGAAGCTGTTTCAATTCTGTTAACGTAATGTAATTTCAGATTTTCCGTTTCTTCGAGTTTCATTGTGATTTCTGCTTGTTCTAGTTTGTCTACTAGTTTTCGAAAATCTAAATCGGGTTCTCGAATTGACGAAGGATGGGATGCTCTCTTTTTCATCGCTATTTTCCTTAATTGTGGTGTTAAGGTCATCATTAAGATTTCTGTCATCTTTGTGTTTTTATAGTCATGTGTATTTAAAGAATATGCTTTTCGAACTAGTGTTTCGATTCGTACTGCTAATTGCTTGATGGTTTCGTTTGGTAATCTGCGAATTTCATTACATAAAACTCTTTGTTGTTGTTTGTTTCTTTCGGAGTCAAACATTTTTGAAAATTCTTGTGTAAATCTTTTCCAATTTGATTTTATTTCTATAGGCAATACTGAAAACCATTTTTGGGCTGCGCCATCTAGAGTTGTTTGTATTAACGCTGTGCGTCGATGTATCCAGTTTTGATGTAGTGGCGTATTAATTGGTTCAGGTCCTATATTTAAAATCAAATTTGCTGTGACTGCATTTAAATAGTCTTCTACAGAATATTCAGGGTCTGTTCCTGTGAATACCATTAAAGGTTTATTTGATGTTATTGATGATCCACCCATAAGGTATGGATTCATCGTCATTTGTAATGATTCTGCTGCATTTGGCATTTGAGAAAAATTTGAAAGTTGATTTCTTGTTATTTCGTGTTGTTGAAGATAATATGGGAGTGGTATTTCATTTTGCATTTGTGCTGGTTGGTACGAGTTTGCAATCATTGGGTTTTGTTGCTGAATTGGTTGAAAAGATTGTGTATTAATTGGGTTTTGTTGTTGAATTGGTTGTTGATTTTGTGTATCTATTGGTTGTGGAGAAAAAATTCTATGATATGTATGTGGTTTCTGTATTCCTTGTCCACGATATTCTTGATTATAGGGTGTAAATATATCTGGTTGTAAGAAATCATCATCTGAGGATAAGTAATCCATTTGATAAGATGTTTGTTTTTTATTTTTATTTTGTTGAAAAAATGGATAGTTTTCACTACGATCCTGTGGAGGATGTAAATTTGTTTGGAAATTTACTGAATTAGGTGGTGCCATTGGGTTATCCCAGTTTCGAGATCTTGTATAATTACTAAAAATTTTTCGTGTTGATAATTTGTTTTTGATGGATGTGTGTAATTATAATTATGGTCTGCAAAGTTGTTTCTAGTGAACGTTTTGCGTGTTTTTGGCGGTATTGTCATGGGTCTGTATGTTTGGTAATCCATGTGTGAATATTTTGGGGCAACTGAAGGTTTAACGGTTGATTGTAAGGTTACCTGTGTTTGTGAAGGGTTTGTATTTCTTGGTGTTGTTAAGTTTGGACGTATTGGTGAAATACTTTGTTGTGTAGTTGTTGTGTGTACGATTTCTTCATTTATGAAGTGTGATGGTGTCTGGATATCTTGTTGAGTAAGATTCCTAGTTCCATTGAGGTTTTCATTGTGTATGACTGTAGAGTTTAAACTATTATTTTGCATATCGGGTAAAAATGTATTATAGTTTAATGGTGTTGCATCAATGGTTAATGGTATTACTCGTACATAATCTCTTACATAAGATATCGTACTTATTGCTTGACTTGAGATTGATTGTGGGAAGTTTATGGATGCGGGATGAGACCATTCGGGGTCCCAAACATAGTCTGATTGTTCTGTGATGGCAGTATCATCGTTTGAGTTTTGGGGTCTAAAATTTTTTCTTGCTTGTGAAATTAAATCAATATTATGTGTGAAATAATCTATTATGAACCATGCCAAGATTTTTTGTAAGTCGTGTTTTGTATGTTGTGAAACTTCATCTTTCGTGAAATTTTCTTTAATTATATTTAGAAAACTAGAGAGTAGTGTGATTTCATGTCGTACTCTTATATGTTTAGATGTTTCTGTCGGTGAGACATTTGGTATCTGGATTTCGTTTTCTAATATCGAGATATAACTATATATTATCGCAAAAACTTCATTGGTGAATATGGAGTTTGCTCTTTGTGAGTTATGATATTGGATGCTTTTTATATATTCTGAGAATACTTTTGAGAATTCTAAATCAAGGTCGTCTGTTTGAATTATATATTTACTGTGATTCTGGTTTGGTGAGCTGAATTCTATGGAGTAGATTCCGTATTGTTGTGTTAGGTTACATATATCTTTTAGATAGTGATCGATAATTTGTCTTTTGATTTTTACATCTGGGAACTCTGTTTTACATGGACTGATTCCGGGTTCAAACAAATTTAAGAGTAAATTTTTGCAGAATATATGCTGTCCTCTATCAGTGGTTGCATCTACGATAAAGGGGAAAATATCATCATCATCTGGACTTTCTTCACCTGGGGTGTGCGTTGAGCTCATTTTTTCGTTCGATGACTGTTAATATGTAATTATCAATGTGTCTAATTGGTTGATTCCAATTGTATAAATGTACTGGTTTGTGTTTATACTGCTTTTTTATTCTTCTTTTTCCTCTTTTTGATGAATTTGAAGTTGTTTCTGAGTCAGAGAAATATAATTGATCGTGAATTGGGCAATTTTTATCTATTGATTCTTTTAGTTTATAAAGTTCGTCTAAACTGTTGGTTTCTGATTCTGAAAATGCGTTTCGATTTTTTGAAAATCTTTTTCGTGTTATTTGTCTTTGTTTAGTTATTATTTTTCTCTTTAATGTTTGTCGTTTTGTTCTAATGTATCCAACTGTTTGTGTATGAGGTGTGATTACAAGGTCGTATTTTTTGTTATCTATTTCACAATTGTGTAAAACGATTGTTGGTTTATTTCCTAGGTTTTTAAATGACATAAGGTTTAGGATGACGGATGCAAAAGGTTGTTAAATGATTTCTATTTGCTTAAACTGTTAGTCCTTACGATTTTTTTGTTAGCCTAACCTGGGTCTATTTGTTCAGGGTTGGGGAGAAAAGTATATCGATTCCGAAGAATGATTTTATACTTTCTCGTGGATAGTATAAGCTAAGGTGTTAACTTACTTAAGGGTAGTGATTGTGTTCAGGGTTGGAGGATAGTAAATCGATCCACAAGGTTCAGGTATAATTAGAACGCGAGTAGTTCGTTAGATACTATTTTAAACTTACTAAGTTTAAGATTTATCCTGGGTCTGGTAAGAGGGGGGATCAAGTGAAGGATGAATAACCGAAGTTCTTCACTGTTTATCCTAATTTGAATGATTAGTTTTGTTCAAAAATTTCTATTAGTCCTGGGTTTTTAGAAAGGGTTGGATAGTGAATCGACGTTTGAGGTCGTTAGACACTAGTTAAGTGGGTGGGGGAGAACAAAGTTGTTCTTTTTGATCCAAGGATAGGCCTTGATGATCAAGTTTTAAATTTAATTAAATAGAAAATGATTTAAGATCCAAGGATAAGCCTTGATGATCTGATTTTAAAATTAAGTGAATTTAAGTTTAAAATGTTTTAAATTTGTGTAAAGAAAAGATTTAGTATTTTTATGATATTAGTGAGCTTATGATTGCTGTTATGTTTAGGCGATGAAGCTGGAACAACAGGATGATTTATAATTACTAACTATTTATTGTCATGCTACTAATTTTTATTTTGATTTTTCAATAAATATTTTTCAAACATGTTTTGTATATTACTGCAGAATTTAGGAAAACGATCTGAGATCTTTTTATCAATCGTTATTGTATATTAATAATTTTGTTTAGCGCCTGAAATGATTTTGAAGATTGACTTCAAAATTTTATGTTTGCAAATGAAAATCTAAATTCATTGCTAGTAGTATTCTAAATACAAAAGTTTGTTCTGGCTTTTGCCGAACTATCATATAACTATATGGTAAGTTTCTGCTTTGTCGTATGTCGTCTCTGGTTCGAGGTCTTCTTCCAATTCCGGGTAGTTCTGTTATCGTTCGGAATATTGGCTCTGATCTATTGAGTCGTAGAGACATTTCGATTAAATTATTGTCGTATAACATTTTGTAAATGTTTTGTCTAAATTCTAATCTATTATTGGTTAATGCTAAGCTATTAAGGTCTTGTTCGAGACTTATGGTCGCACCAGATGAGTTAGGACCGATGGGTATAACTCATAGAGTAATTTCGGATAGGGTACACCGTCTGCTCGTCACGCTATCTTATTTTCGGCCGGATAGATTCGTGCAACTTCTTAGTCTAATACCGATCCTAATCTTACTCTTATACTATCTAGTCTCAGGTTGTTTAACTAGTCTCTGCTAGGCTCAATAGATCTAGGGTATACTGGTTTATTGCGGCTGCTGAAGTACTCGGGAGAGTTCAACTAATTTCTAAGTTAAATTCAATTCTCTCTGGTGCTGAAATCACAAGTAATTTCAGCACTTACAAATAAGTGGATTGTTAGTTAGATGGATCATGATTGGTTAATATTAAATACTTTACATTGGTAAAATATCTAATTTATCCAATCATAAAATGTAGTTTAGATCAGGTTCCACTTTGACTACAATCAAGATTGAAATTTGATTTAAATCAATGATTTAAATCAAGCAACCCTGACCGACAGGGTACTAAAAAAAAACGACAGAACACATGGCCCAATTAAAAATGATTATGCGCATGATAGAGGCAGGTTATATTTCTCTACAAATATGGAATTCGGTCGCAAATCATCCAACAATCTGACCTGTCATCGGGGTCGGACCAGAGCAAGTCGCACATTGGACCCTCGTGGGGCACCTCTTGGAGTCTGTCGAGTGCCTTGATGTGGTCCAGGGAGTCTATCGAGGGACTGAGGCCTCCATGCAGACAGAAGATCTGGCCATCTATCAGAGCGGTTAGCGGAAGATAATCGAACAGATCTGTGAAGTATTTCCATACATTTGCATTACCATACTTTCGCAGACATTCGTCGTAGAAACCATACACCTAGCAATACAATAATCAGGTTTTAACTTATTCGCTTTGTATCAACGCCTACTTTACAAAAGCGATATCATCAAAATCAAGAACTTTTTCACCTCATCTAAATAAAATATTATAATTGAAGCCTAGCAGATTTTATCACTGACATTGCGTTTTCGTTTACTCGTCAAAAAATGAAGAGAGTTTCTTTTCGGTAACGAGGTTAGGTTGTTTCATAATGCTTCATATGTCTATAAAGTACAGATATTGGACGGACTCTCACCTGAGTAATCTGTCTACTTTCGTGGTTTCCTCTCAAGATGGTCACTCTAGATGGATATCTAACTTTCAGAGTTACTAGTAATGTGACTGTTTCTACACTGTAGTACCCTCGATCCACGTAATCTCCCATGAATAGATAGTTCGTGTCCGGAGATTTTCCACCTGAGAAAAATAATGCTTGTTTTCATTTACCGAAATATAACACCAAGTATATCCGAGGTTTGAACACGTAATAACCAGCAAAAAATATGTAGTGAATTTATATTAAAACTCAACTGATTTTTCTTCTGAAGAATTGAATATATTAACAAAAAGCAGAGATAATCACAATACCTATTTGGCACAATTCCATCAGATCGTGAAACTGTCCGTGAACATCTCCACAAACTGTAACAGGACATTTGACTTCCTGCACGTTTCCCTCTCTCGTAAGGATGTCCTTGGCGCGTTCGCAAAGTGTTTTCACTTGAGCATCTGTTAACCGTTTACATTGCATCAGCTGCTCTACCCATCCGTTTAGCTCTTTCGAAACGGTAGAATCCAGTGGTTTCTGGGGAGAATTACTCATGACCGGTCTGAAGATTAAAACCTCATTATAACAAAGATAGCCGGTTGCTGTACAAGTAGCACAGAATGTTCTGACCACGTTCATTAAAAAAATTTAATTTTTTTTTAACTTGTTTTCTTCAAATTAGTGTCGTTTCTTGTGTTTGGTATGATGAAACAACTATACAAACCGGTATAAAATGACAAAAATTAGGCATAAGGGACAACAGTAGATTTCAAAAAAATTACAAAAACAATTTTTCTTGTAAGCTTTCAGCGTGCTATTTTATTGAATCTTGCAACTTCTAGAATCCTTCGCACTCTGCCTAGAGGTAAGGCGGACGCCTTTGTATCCAACGGTCAGGGGTTTGAATTCCGGCTGGACCTTGTTTTTTTTTCAGTGTCTGCAATTGAAAAGAATTGTTTTTCTTATTTTGCACATTTTCTCAAAAGTTTAAGATAAAATTTATATTTGCTCATGAAAAACAATCGATGTTTAAGAGAACGTTTTCGTTCGACTACAATCATCAGTCTAAAAAAGGAAAAACAATAAACGTACAATCCAAAGTGTACAAACAGAATAAAATAAAAATTGAAAAACATAAAAAAAAACAGTATACAGGTAGCACCGAGAGATCTAAAAACAAAATATATAGATATCTTTCAGCCATCTTTGATGGGACAATAAGGACGTTTTTCTAAGCCTTGACTGTGAGTTCGCGCGACCTGTATTCTTCTTTTCTGTTGATCCTTGGTTTGAGCCGGTTGATGTGTAGGGCCTCAAGCGTTAAAAGTTTGACAGGCTCGTTAGATCGATCTATGATCTTTGCCACTAAGTTTTCTGAGTTGCCAACGCATTGTGTCATGTGTTCACCCACTGGAGTAGAGATCCGCGAATACTCGTTAAGGCGTGTGGTGAGGTGTCGGGTTGTCTGCCCAACATAGCTGGCACTACAGCCAGGACAAGTGATACGATACACAATACTACTACAGAGATGATTCGGGATCTTCGATTTTAGAGCAGGGACAGCAGCAGTTTTCAGTTTCCAGGTAGTGAAAATAACAGGGACACGAGTGATATTGTTCAAACGTCTTCTAAATGTGTCAATCACAGTGCCTCTGAATTGCAAAGTGAACATTGTTAACAGGCCTTTGTCTTTCTTCTGCCTGTCCGTGATGTTGATTTTCGGCCACAGCAGTTTATCAATAGTTTCTCTGACGATGGGTTCTTAGAATTGGGGTGAATACTGGTTTGCTTCACATATCTTCTTTGCCTTTTGAATACCAGTATGGAAATTGTTCCATTTTGATGTGGCATTATAGATGCGTTGAAAGCAGCCCCGAATCATGTTGCCTTTGTAACCAATCGGTGCAAGGGCTCTGACGGAAAGGATCAGTCCAGTATCTGTGGGTTTCTGATACCAACTCGTACTCACACACGCATCCTGGCATTTTACTAACATGTCCAAAAAAAGGGATACCATTGTCTCTCAACTTTTCGATAGTAAATTCCAAGTTGTGGTGAAGCGCGTTGACACTGTCTAAGGTGCTGTCGATAGAGTCACTCTGCGCAGATCTCAAGATACCGTCTACATAGCGTCCTAAGATTTAAGCTTTTTCCCTAATGGACGGAACCGTCTCCTCTTTTTGGCACTGAGTGCAAATCCACTGGTCACCAAAACTTATATTGCCAAGGAAGCACTAAATTAAGCTTCCAAAAGTAGCTTTTTGCTTATTAAAATTGAAGTACTCTTAGTCTAAATAACCAATTTTCAGGGTACCGATCGTTTAGCAAACCAATCTGTTTGCATAAAAACTGAAAAAGGAGCCTTTTAGCTGACCAACGTAATGAAGTGATGAACGATTGATTGACAGACTCAAAAGGACGGTCAGTATGGGGCCAAGCTTCCACAATTAAGACCATTATCTCGCAATTTGTCAACAAAATTATCAACTTCAAAATTTATAAAATTCAAAAATTAACACTCATGTTGAATTGAAGCGCAGTGGAGCAAGCGTTCGCTGATCGTCAATGCCGCGATTAAAATTAGCTATCTAACTGTATAATTGTTCTGAGTCTGCTAAAAGATTGGTCTGCTAAAAAAACCGGTCTGCTAAAATCTCTAGCACACAATCTTCATAACATTCAAAAGTTGCAAGCCGTTTTTTTCGACGTTGAGACAACTTTTCCAATTGCGTATTAGAGGGCTTTAATATGATATATCACTCAAACGATTACAATGGTTATTGTGATGGCTAATTTTGCATGGTTGACTTACTTTTATTTTACACATACACAATTATGACTTACACTTACATGGATGAAATTTACCTAATTTGGAAAAACGGGAAGAATATGTAAATTTTTATTCCACTGGCAAATCTAAACGTTAAGAAATTTTTGCTAAAAAGTAAAATTCAAACGTTTTCGCAACTAAGTGCATCGTCAGGATTTTTACAATAAACTAATCTAAATGACGCTAAAACATCAATTTACAAATTTACAATAATTCACATACATTTTGGTTCTAAACCACCATGTTAAAAAATTAGCCAATCACAATTGACCTCTAAATTACTACTAAGATTAAAATATTTTTCACCTCTAAAATGAATTAAACAGTTTTAGAATAATTTGTCTGGAAGTTTCCGAGTCGTAATTTCGATTTAGACATGTACGTTTCAAATAAACAACCAAAAACATTTTGGGACTAAATATTTGGTTTTCGACAACTGTGAACCTTAACGTTAAGCTCACCAATTAAATCCACTTTCGAAACCAAAAGTCGATGTAACATTCGACCGGAATGTATCAAAATGCAAGTTCTAATTCGAATTTTTATTGTGACATCGGAGCGTTGACATTTCGTTTTCGACATGTAGGTTTTAAATAAAAAACCAAAAATGTTTTGGGACTAAGTAAACTTTAACGTTGAGTTCACCAATTAAATCCACTATCAAAACCAAAAGTCGATGTGACATTCGACCAGATTGTATCAAAATGCAATTTCGAATACGAAGTTTTATTATGACATCGGAGCGCGAAGATTGGCAGTTTTAGCACATTAACGGTGTTAATTGTTCATTTTGACAAACGCGGAATGGTTAATTTGGGCTGACATGTTAATTTTTAAAAATTTGTTTAAAAAGAAAGACACGTGACGACGTCGAAATTTCACGACAACTGAAAACTGCAAAGAAGAACAGAACAACAAACTTCGTTGAGAAAAATGGTGAACGGCAATTGTGAGAGACAGATCAAAATTGGAATAGAAAACGACGACCAGAACATTCCGAGTTGAAACGATTGTGCCGCTACAATCGTTACAACACGAATCCCGAGAACCAGGAAGGGTACTGGGACGACATGTCCAGCCTTCCGAGAAGACATTAAAGTGAATCCGGAGGGGTCTCGGGAGAAAACTGTATATCTCTATTTTTCGAATTTTTAGCTTCTGGTCATGTCCTGAATTGATTTAATAACATCTAAATCCGTTTTCAGATTATGAGGAGGTAAGGGAAAGGGTTGATGCACCTTCGACGGAAATGATGATTTTTATCTACTGAACAAAAACAAAAGTAATATAATTAAAAAGTAGTCGCGCTGTTTTTTGGAGTGACCTCGTGGTCGCGGGATACTGAGACTCAGCCATGAGCTCACTATTTTTGCATGTAATAAAGTTAATTAGAGCGACATGATCGAAGCCGGAAACAGTTAATTTTTTTGTGTCGATGTTAGAAAGACGACCAAAAGAACTGGCGTTGGCAGAGACGGTGGAAAGCATGTAGAGCTGTGTTTAGACGCTGGCCAGTCGTTTTAGAATCAAGCTTTAATTTCCGTCGATATGTACATCCGGGCGAATGTTACATAGATGTTTTTATGGCGCTCCTGGGTGTTATTATTTTTTAACATCATGACCGGCAGAACCGTTAACGAGCACTCCGCGCAGAGCGGATGCTCAAAAAAGGCCTTAACCACCGGGGCGGAAGGGTAGTTTGGAGCGCGGAAGCCTTCCGGATTCCCGAAAATAGCTTTTTATTCTAGTTAAGACAGAAAAGTCACGTACCAGGATGGGTGGGGGCATTGGCCGTCCCGTCGCTCCCTGAGAGGTTTGTGACCAAAAACAATTAAAAATAAACAGGAAACCAAACAAAAAGTAGTATAGTACCTAAGAAAAAACAAAAAAGATTAAAAAACCGAAAAAAACCAAAAACAATAAAAAAAAAAATATAAAATCAGTAGAAGTCATCACCCCAGACGAGATTGATCCGACCCTCCCGTTTGTTGTTGTGAGATATATTGTTGTTACTGGCATTGTTATCAGTCAGGATTGTTACGATCAAACTTGTGGCCCGTTTCAGATGCTTGTACTCTAGGGTTATTTGATTATTTAAGCACGTTAATGCTAATTTGCGCTCAATCCGGAAGGGTCTCGGGATTAGAGCAGAAGACTGATCCGGCAAGCAGTACAAGGAGCAACAAAAAGGGGCTCAAGGACAACAACAAACGAGTGTTGCGCATCGTTAACAAGTTTTGTATCCCTTTTAGTACAAAAAGTAGGATATTAATCTGTGGGGGGGCTCGACAGTGACTGAACTCTGGTGACCCATCACCGAACTGCGAATTTTCGAATTAAGCACCTTAATTCGGATATTGAAAATCCCGGAGGGCTATAATATTACTAGTATTAATATTTATACAGCCTATATTAATACTCCTATACCGTTTTTTTCAGTGAAAAACACAGTAAGCAGACCGGTTTTTAGTGTCAAAATAGTGATATTTTAATCCTCCCACATATCGATTTTTTTTTAAACGGAAAAAAGTGCCAAATTAGTGAGTTACATCGTAACTGTACTAGTATTATAGGTCGAAATAGTTAACTTTAGTTCGGAGGTGGTTGGAATTAATTGGGTACCGAAAATCGAAGTTTCTTATTTTTTGAAAAAAAAACGAAACGGTACAAAATCAGAAACTTTTTGAATTTTTTGCGTTAGGACAATAAAAATTGTTGTTCAGACAATATTAACTAG